GGCCACCCTGGAAGGGGTGAAGCCTCAAGCGGAAGGGGCAGAGCCAAGACACTTCCTGCTTCCCCACCCACAGACCCTGATTGGTCTGGGGGTAGGAGAGTACGTGAAGTCTTTGGTCCCCCTCCCCCCAAAGAGAGAACCGCTGGCTGACTTTGTGTACTCCCCCCATCCCCGAGCCCTAATTGGCCTGGGGGCAGGTGGAGCGTTCAAAATCTCCTCCCACCCTGCCCCGCTCCTGCAAGGAGCTTGTGGCACTTAGAAGCACTATGCCTCTTGCAGGGCGGGAGGAAACTTCACATGCTCCTCGCCCTCCCCCTCCCCCAGGCCAATCACACGTAGGGTGGGTGGAAATGTGCGAAGTCTCCTCCTGCCATTCACAGGAGCTCATGGCACTTTGAAGTGCTGCACAGTCTTTGCAGGGCGGGGCAGGAGGAGACTTTACCCACTTCCACCTTACCCCCAGGCCCTGATTGGCCTGGGGACGGGAAAGCATTAGGGCCTCTGCAGGCTGGATCAATCCGCTTGGCGGGCTGGATCCAGCCCGTGAAGGCGCTTTTGCCCACTCCTGCTCTAATATGATATATACCATCAAGTTCCAAGACCCTCTGCCAGGTACACTGGCCAAACTGGACGGTCTTTATGACAGACAAACAAAAATGGACACAAGTCAGACATCAACGATCGTAACACACATGAACCTGTAGGGGAACATTTTAACCTGCCTGGGCACTTATTAACGGATTTAAAAGTAGCCATTCTTCTACAAAGGAATTTCACCAGCCAATTACAGAAAGAGTATGCGGAATTGATATTCATCTGCAAACCTAACACTGGTTCCCTGGGCTTGAATAAAAATATTAACTAGATGTCACCTTATAAAGCCAGCCTTCCCTGAATTTACCTTCTCATTTACATCAAAAGCTAAGTATGGGTCACTTCCAGCCCACTCAATTAGCCTCAGTCATTAGCACTTGTCCTACAATTTACAGGCACCTTCTCTTTTCCTCTTCTTTTTCTGTTATAAATTCTGGGCTCCTGCACTCCAGGTCATCTGATCGAAGTGGGTTTTGCCCATGAAAGCTCATCAGATATACAAGCAAAGGAAGTCACACAGGCAAAACCAATCGGGGTTAGTGCAGCTGCATTAGCTGAGGAAAAGGTAAAACAGAAAAAGCTATGCGCAACCAGAAGCCCAGAGGACAAAAGCAGGTTCGAAGAATGGGCTTGTGTGTATAAAGATCACCTCTGGTACCGGCCCTGGGGAGAGCAGCTGGCAACTCCTGAGTGCATAAGGGCTTTGCTGCTCCACGCCATCCACTCCCCAGCCCACCTGGGGTGGAGGCAAATGAGAGCTGCCCTGAAATACTGGTAGTAGCCAGCCATGAAAAAGGATGCATTAAATTTTCTTAAGAGATGTGTAATGTGTGCACAAGTAAATGTGGGTAAGAGAAAGAAAGTACCCCTAAACCACCAACTCGGCTGGAGGGGTCGTGGAAAAACCTGCAAATAGATTTTACTGGGCCCCTGACACTGATTATTTAGTCTCAGGAATATTATATAATGAACCAAAGTGTCATAAAGCAAACTTCTATTCAGTTTATCCACACTTTGATGAAGATGGTAGCACTGCATGTCCCAAAGCAGAAAACAAGGGGACAAGGGAATGTTGAGTGAAGACCAAAGCTAAGATTGCAGGGAAACAGGTCAAGAGAACGCCAATGAGCAGGCACAGCAAAACAAGTAGTTCGAACTAGTTTTTAGTTCTAGATGCGTTAGTTCGAACTAGCTTAGTTCGAATTAACTAATTCGAACTAAGTTAGTTCGAACTAGCGCTGTAGTGTAGACGTACCCTATGTTTCTAACGATCAAATCACCCACAACTAACATCTGCCTCTTCCTAACAAATGGCATTCCCTCCCCCTCCGAGGTATCCTCAGTGCGAGAGGATACGGCAACATCCTCTGGAAGGAGGGTCCTAACCACGGGATGGTTTCCCTCTGTTCCCATTGAATGCTCTGTTCCCTTGAGACTTTCATTCTCTTTAAGAGCACTGGGGCTCTCAGACTGGAGGTGGGACAGTACTAGTGTCCCGGAAAGTCTCATAAACATATCTCTCTACTTCCCTTAGTTCTTCCAGTTCAGCCACCCTGGCCTCCAAAGACCGAACTCGGTCTCTGAGGGTCAGGAGCTCCTTGCAACGGGTGCACACATACGCCACCCGCCCACAGGGCAGGTAATCATACATGTTACACTCAACGCAATAAACAGGATAGCCCCCACTCTGCTGCTGGGCTTCTGTCTCCATTTTTCTTTTATGAATAAGTTTAAGTATAAACTGGGCTTATTAAATGTCTGGAATATAGATTATTATAAAAGTTATGTTTAAAGAAGGTCCGAAGTCACTAGTGCCCTCTAACCTCCCCCTCTAAACTCCCTCTCCAAACTCCCTGTTAGCTGCTCCTGTTCGCAAGCTTCGCAAACTTACACTAAATATGAAAAAATAGCAACTACTTGCAACTTTCTGAATCTACAGTTATGGATTACTTTAAATTCTCTGCTGGGAGCCACTGGATTGTGGAAAGTTGCTAAGACAGAGGTGGGCAAGAGGTGGCCAGTGGGCTGGATACAGCCCGAGGCCACCTCATCAGGAACCTTAGATAGAGAACACCTGCAACCACTTTGAAGGTTTGCTGCTCTATGCTCTGGACACTGGGGGGAGGGGAGGAGGGAGAGGGAGGAAGGAGGCTTCACACACTGCCCCAGCCCCCAGCAAAATATCTCAGTTCCCATTGGCCCATTTCTGGCCAATAGGAGCTGAAAAATTTTTCAGGGGGCAGGGGCAGCACGTGAAATTTCCTCTCTCCCTCCCCCTGCCCATTACAGAGCCACATGGAGCTGCCTGCAACTGCAGCTCAGGTTCCTGCAGGTCTGCTGGCCGGGAGCCACCTACATCAGCATCCCCCAGCCAGAGCCTGCCCCTAGCACCCCACCCTGTCTCTCCTTCGCCCTGTACCCCTTTCTCTCTGCACCCCTTTCCCCCAGGTCACAATTCCCTCCCAGACCCTGCACCCCCTATAACACCTCTTCTACAGACCGGAATCCTCTCTTGCACCCATACTCCCCTCTCTACCCTGCACCCCATTCCCCTGGCCCAGGTCACCACCCAAACCCTCTGCATCCCCTTCTCCAAGGTCACAACTCCCTCTCAGACCATGCACTCCCTCCTAGAACCCCTTCCCCAGGCCAGAATCCTTTCCTACACCCATACCTCCACCTGGACCCTTTATCCCAAGCGCCTGCCCCAGAGCACAACCCTCTCTTTCACGCAAACTCCCTCTCAGAATCCACACCTCCACCTACACACACCCCAGTCCTCTACACCACACTTCCTTCAGCACTCCATGCATAGAAATGTGGTCATGGAACACTTGCTAAAATCTTGGAGTGCCCTCCCCCGCATTAAAAATTATTGTCCACCCCTGTGCTAAGATACGTAGAATTTAAGCTAAGCTTGATCTTCACCTTAATTAAAAATAAATCAAGGATCACACCAAGTGAGCACTCATCTCCTAAGCTCACCGTCATACAGTGAGGGGGAGTCACCGGGCCCTGCATCCCCATCCTCCCTCCTAGAACCCCTTCCCCAGGCCAGAATCCTTTCCTACACCCATACCTCCACCTGGACCCTTTATCCCAAGCGCCTGCCCCAGAGCACAACCCTCTCTTTCACGCAAACTCCCTCTCAGAATCCACACCTCCACCTACACACACCCCAGTCCTCTACACCACACTTCCTTCAGCACTCCATGCATAGAAATGTGGTCATGGAACACTTGCTAAAATCTTGGAGTGCCCTCCCCCGCATTAAAAATTATTGTCCACCCCTGTGCTAAGATACGTAGAATTTAAGCTAAGCTTGATCTTCACCTTAATTAAAAATAAATCAAGGATCACACCAAGTGAGCACTCATCTCCTAAGCTCACCGTCATACAGTGAGGGGGAGTCACCGGGCCCTGCATCCCCATCCACAGTCAGATGTGACGCTCAGCCAACAAGTAAAACAGGAGGTTTATTCATTGACAGGGACACAACGTAGCACAGACTTGTTATTACAAGAACCAGGAGCATTCAGTACAATCTATCTTGGGGATAAAAGGGCGCAGAGCCAGGGGTCTGGGCCTTGCCCGGCCCTCCAAGCCAGCTAGATTCTCTTCTCCCTAAACCAGCCAAAAACTAAACTCTCACACCCAGCAACTGGTCTCAGCCCTCTAAGCAGTCCAGCCTACTCCTTTGTCATGCTTCCTGGGCCCAAGGTGGTAATCTGCGGTCACCTGGTCCTCAGGACATAAGAGACTGACCTACTTCCAGTGAATCATACCCAGCCTTCCCCTCCTCATCCAGATAGTGTTGCAGTGCCCAGAGAAACTGAAGTGTGCATGCGCGCGCACACACACGCACGCTTACTACAGAACAGAACAGGACAGTAGAATCACATATTACACAACAAAGGAAACAGAGTAAATACAGGGACTACAAGAGTGAATACAATCCCCACTGCATCACACTCACAAAATGCATCAAATCCTTCCTCTTTATAGTAACTGGTGTCTTATTAGTAACTGGATTCCTCTCCAAATTAAACTAAGAATGTAATTATACTAGAATATAATTATGTAATGTCAATTGTAGCAATATAGAAATATGTTTGATCATAATGGTAAAACTTAAATGTTGACAATTAGTCTGAACCTTCACATCACAAACAAGACTTCCAGAACATGCTCAGAAAATCACCATTAATAGATGTTATAAAATAAGAAACACAGGATCCTCACAGTCTTGTGCAAATGGGGGCATGAAATAGCTGAGAAAAGTGAAAGCCTACAACTTCTACGACAAGGTAAGAGACCCTACTTGTTTTATGATGAAATGAATACTCAAGATCGGGAAGTGCTTTTTTCTCTGGTTTAAATAGTAAATTATCACACAACACATGTACCATTTAGTCTCCTCTGGATTGTTTCTTCCTCTAAAGTGATGATGTAGATCTGTTCATCTAGGTCTTCAAGGATCTGAAATTAGAAATGCAAATTCTAATCAAACACATTCGTTTATATGTGATACCCTGATTGAATTTGAGAGTCTATTTTTTAAATTAAAACCTACTTTTTAAGATAATAAACACTACGAAACAATACGGCTGCATAAAAGATCATCACACTGTCTATTATTAAAAGATATTCAGAACTTCAATTACAATCTGATTTTCATATGGTTAATTTTCCCATAAGATTTCTTTTGGTCTGAAACTTTCTGTTTAGTCTCAGTCCAAAGGAATTTGTGTGGGTGGGGGGAGTATGAGCAGTTTAAGCTAGATTCAGTCAACTACACTACACCAAAAAATGTAATTACTTCGTGCACTCACACAAAAAATATCAAAAACAGCTAATAACTTCACATTTGACTAGACTACAACACAAAAGAATTACAGTTTGTAGAAACATTTATTGTAAAGTTTACATGACAAAACTGTTTTCATGGAGTCTGAAATTTCAAGCAGGTAAATTGCAAGTGAAGTTGTGAAAAGCATGCAATTGAAGTGGTTGGGATCTGTGTAACTACAGAGCATTTGAGTTTTAAAAACCTAATAGCTGCGAACTGTGTTTTGCTCTCCAGTGTCACAGGTAGGGTTTTACAGATCACTTTATTCCCAAAAATATTGGGCAATATTCAGTTAATGCTCTGACAATATCATCTCCATGCCTTCTTTCATGATGCATTCATGTACCATATAAGCTTCCTTGAATTCACACAAGGTCACTACCACTTACTTCCACATTTAAGTCCCTATTTCAGAGACCCATCTACGTCATGCTGCCTATAGTGAACCAAGTTGCCTAGTAAACCAATTCCCTATTGCTTAACCACCTCCCCAACCTCTCTCATTTGTCCTTGGACTGTGAGTACTTTAAAGCAGAAGTCAGGCAAGTGTTTAGAAAATATCTGACAAACACTGAGCATTACCACAAACAAAAATCTTACTACTGGCAATGTTTATTTCAATCATACTGCATACACTATATTAAGCTAGTCAGTTAAGTTGGAAAAAATAAATACCACTACACAAAAGTTTAATGAGGAGCAGAGATATAGCCTAGTATAAAATCAAGATGTTCTATTTTTTACCTATTCACTATTTCTGTACTAACTATGAAAACCTAGTGGAATTAGACAGTAAAGTTACTATCCACATATATACTATTGCTTAAATTTAGTTATTCTAAAGTAAGTAAATACATATGGCTTACAGACCCGGGAATTATAAATTAAAATAGTAATTTAAAAATAAAAACATGAAAAAAATTGTACACTCAATCCCAATAAGAGCAACTCAGGCCATGGATCTACAGAGTTCTGTAAATGCTTAATTTTAAGCATGTCAGTAATCACATGGCTACTGAAGTTAAGCACATGTTTAAATCTTTGCTGGACTGGGGCTACACTGTGTGAAAAATGGAGCACTGCTTTTTAAGTGGAGAGACCAGAAATTTTTACAATCCAGTAGCACATTGTTTAATGTGCAATTTATTTTGCAAAAAGAATTTTTTTGAATATGGCTATGTTACTGTACATTCATTTTAAAATACTGTCAAAAGCATAGCAAAATATTGTACTTACTGTTGGCTTTACCAGCAACTGACCCATCACTGTAAACATTCGTGAAAGTCCCACTGGCGTGCATACTATGAAGGAAAAGGTATAGTTAACCTTGGCTAGAAAATGTGGCTAATTATATCCATAATCCAAACATACTCTTACTTATAACTGAATAAAGTTCTTTTTCAGCAACATTTTGATTAGACCTCTATACTCCACCATCGCACTAGAGATATCACAGATATCACTGAATATTGAACAACCTCCCGTGCCTGTTCTGAGATTACAAACTGGTGGTGAAAAACTTTTTGCCAGCATGGAGTAGAATGTAATCAAAAATCCCTTTAATTATTTAACCTAGCTACTCTTTATATATCTGTTGCCATATACTCGAATAAATGGTTAGCTGTGGCTTTACACAAATAGATGAAGGTAGATTTGCCTCTTATCTTATTAAGATAATAGCGTCAGTAAATTTCTCAGTTTTATAAAACTCTCTCATTTAAAACACTACTAATGAAGTCATTACCACTAAAAAGTCTCTTAAAGTCAGATAGTTCTCAATACTGATGTATGCATACATTGGGTACATATTAACATATCTCTAGCGCTAAAAGGTCATGAAGAACACCTTTGCCTCAAAGAGTGTGAGAGTATGTGGGAGATACCGGAGGTGATAATTTGGACAGAGGGAAAAAACAAGGATCTACAAGATATGATGTCCTTTATTTTAAAAGCTTCAGAGGGTTGCCAAGTTAATCTGTACAGGATAAACTTTAAAAACAACAAATGGTCTGGTAACACTTTATAGACTAACAAAACATGTAGGCTACATCTAGACTGGCATGATTTTGCGGAAATACTTTTTACGGAAAAGTCATGCCTGACCAATCTGATTAGCTTTTATGATGAGGTAACTGGTTCTACAGACATGGGGAAGTCAGTGGATGTGATATACCTTGAGTTTAGCAAAGTTTCTGATACAGTCTCCCACAATATTCTTGCCAGCAAGTTAAGGAAATATGGATCGGATAAATGGATTATAAGGTGGATAGAAAGCTGGCCAGATTGTCGGGCCCAACGGGTAGTGATCTATGGCTCAATGTCTGATTGGCGGTCGGTTTCAAGTGGAGTGCTCCAAGGATCGGTTTCTAGGACTGGTTTTATTCAACATCTTCATTAATGACCTGGATGAGGGGACGGATTGCACTCTCAGCAAGTTTGCAGATGACATTAAGCTAGAGGTAGATACGTTGGAGGGCAGGGATAGGGTCCAGAGTGACCTAGACAGATTAGAAGATTGGGCCAAAAGAAATCTGATGAGGTTCAACAAGGACAAGTGCAGCAGTCCTGCACTTGGGATGGAAGAATCCAAAGCATTGTTACAGGCTGGGGACCAACTGGCTAGGCAGCAGTTCAGCAGAAAAGTACCTGGGATTCCAGTGGATGAGAAGCTGGATATGAGTCAACAGCGTGCTCTTAGAGCCAAGAAGGCTAATGGGGCATTAGGGTGCATTAGGAGGAGCACTGCCAGCAGACCTAGAGAAGTGATTATTCCCCTTTATTCGGCACTAGCGAGGCCACGTCTGGAGTACTGTGTCCCATTCTGGGCCTCCTACTACAGAAAAGATGTGGACACATTGGAAAGGGTCCAGCAGAGGGTGACGAAAATGATTAGGGGACTGGAGCACATGACCTACGAAGAAAGGCTGAGGGATTTGGGCTTATTTAGTCTGCAGAAGAGAAGAGTGAGGGAGATTTGATAGCAGCCTTCAACTTCCTGAAGGGAGGTTCCAAAGAGGATGGAGAGAGGCTGTTCTCCATAGTGATGGATGGCAGAACAAGAAGCAATGGGCTCAAGTTACAGTGGGGGAGGTCTAGGTTGGATACTAGGAAAAACTATTTCACTAGGAGGGTGGAGAAGTATTGGAATGGGCTACCTAGCGAGGAGGTGAAATCTCCATCCCTAGAGGTTTAAGTCTCTGCTTGACAAAGCCCTGGCTGGGATGATTTAGTTGGGCTTGGTTCCGCTTTGGGCAGGGGGCTGGACTTGCTGACTTCTCTTCCAGCCCTATGATTCTAGGAGGAAAAATTGCCTAGTGACTATATCATGAGACTAAGTTCTGGATCAATTTCTGTCCTGACTCCTTGTACAATAGTGGTTTTTTCCCCCCTCACTTTATAAAAATGTGGATACCATATACTTTCATCTGCAAATTGCTCTAAGGTCCTATTGTCCTAAGGTGAAAAATACTAATTCTACTTACTTACATATTTCAGAAAAAGTCTGAAGTTTTTAAAAGAAAAAAATCCTCCTTGGGAGCACAAATCTACCAGTAGCAAAATATTTTAGAAAATACCCAAGCGAAAAAAACCCCACACACCTGGGAAAGTGTCACAATACCTCTAATTCGTTCCTTTTTCATCCTCAAATTATATGCAGTTAATCACCTGAACCTCCTATAATCTAAAAATATTACTTTTCTTCTACAGTAATAAGGAAAATACTTACAAAGAAGTAATAAACATCCCATGAGTGATATACAGGAATATAAATAAGGGAGGTAGAATTCCCAAAGATCTGTAAAGAAAATTTTCAACATAGTAATAGCTTATTAAATATTGTTTATGCTCTATTTTAATCTATTTATTAGTACTTAGTGAAACTAAGAACAATTTAGTTTTGAGTGTGACTAGCTTAGACTCAAATCTTTCCTTAAGTTAGAACAATTTAAGGAAATGGCTTTTTCAGGATGGTAAAATACAATTTTAAAAAGTAAATCAAGAATTAAGTTGTATAAAATTGTGGATAACAATCTCTTTGACACTTTGAGAAGAAAAACCAAATGCTGTATCTTTTAAAAAAGCTACTTGAGAAACCTGTTTCTAACATTAGGTATGTGCACACAGTGAACAAAAAATCTGAATGTCATCAGTATGCTGTAAGGTCACGTAAAAATACCAGCTGAATACAAAAATCAGATTCTGATTAGAATGGGTTACAACTGTTAAAATAATGAGTGCAGTATGGGAATTTATTATCAATGAATTTTAATTGAAAACACCCACTTCTATCCTGTATACCAGGGTGGGGAACCTACGGCCTAGAGGCCAGATGCAACCCCAGCTTACCTGGATCCGGCCCCCAGGACTCAAGGGTCCTCTCTCCCAGCATTGGGGAGCCCTGCTGACATACCAGCCCCTACTGTGTCCCTCCCCGTCTGAATTTTCTTTGGGTTAGTGGCCCCGATCTAAAAAAGGTTCCCTGCAGTTAACAATGAAACTTATTTTTTAAAATATTACATACCATACAAAGACTCCATACTGGTAGCATCATTGTCAATGAGAGCTGAAGCCACCCACACTATTCCAAGGATAAGCAGCCCAAGAAGAATAAGCATAACAATTGTTTCCAAAATTCGTGCTCTGATCCCCTAGGAAAAATAAAACAATTTAAATATAATCAAAAAATTCTAAACATAAGGCACATTAAACAAGAATTATTGTAAAATTTTACACATACATATATCTAAGTTTTAAGAGCACGTGCAAGATTTAAAAAAAAATTTTTTTTATACACACAAGGGAAAAAACATCTAAGTGTTTATACCTTCATGCTGCCTAGACTATTTTTTTCCTTGAAACCATAGAAAATTGTTTAAAATTACTTAAGCTTTACAGTTTTCATTAATCTCATTATTCTATAAAAAAATCTTTATACCTTATGATTTTGCTAGGGCAGTTTTAAAAGATGGATTACTTTTCTAATACTTTCAGCCAACAAAGTGGATTAGCAAATTTTTATCTATGATTCCAATCAAGGGAATGGAAAGCCAATTATGGCAAATAGCCAAATAGCCCAGCCAACATTAAACACTGCATAGGTACAATGCGCCAATCTACTTAAAATAGTCTTCCACTGTAATTGCTTCTGCACCATTCCTCACAGCCTACAGAGCCCTCAAGTGTACAGTTAAAGTACTGCTTGCTGGCTATCCAGACACATATTGATGCTGAAGTTACGTCAGTTACATACTTCTAATATGCTCAATACTGAGTGGAACACTAATCATCTCAAATACACATACACCACACAATCACATAAAAAGGTCTCTGGTACATTTGTGCATAAATTGTAAAAGGCTATATTAATGTATTGTTAAGTTTGCAAATTTAAACAGAATATAAAAGAGAACATTTAGCAGTCTAATCAATAATAAATGTTAGTATTATTATGAGAACCTAAACTGTGTCTTTACTGACATAATCTACTCATCCCTGAGATTATATTAACAGCTTTTATATTTAATTTTCTTGGTTTTCCTGAAGAAACACTCTCCTTTTGAGGATTTTCAATACAGATCACTCTCTACCCTCAATTCTGCTGTGGTCAATGCATGTCTCAGGGTTCTGTTTGCACATGTGCATTCCAGAGTTTGATTCTATATGAAAAATCGACTAAGAACTCAATTGTCTGTACTTCCAAAGAACTTTACTCCGCTCAGGTAAAAAGCTATGGCTTGGCACACATCTAATGTACACAATTTCTGTTCATCCCTGTGAGCACGTGACTTTTGAAAAAAAGACCTACAAATATAGACAGATTCCGGGGAAATCTGATACCTTCTAAGAAAAAAAATGACAGTGCAGTCTAAGTTGCACTTTGTCTTTGTGGAATAAAATATATGGGGAATCTGTTACCAGACACACAAAGTTCTCCCACTCTTTTAGCAGAACTGATGTCTACCAAGAAAGCCACTTTTACTAAGTTGTAACAAAAAAGCAGGAGGCTGAGGGCTCATATGAAGGGTCACATAAGGGCAGATAGAACTAAATTCAAGTCCAAAAATGCAGCTGGATCCTCAACAGGTAGAAGCAACCTAATTTAGGAATCTGGTTGTCACAAGATTGGAGAAAAACACTTGCTGTAAATACATGGGTGAAAAGCTAGAAATACTACCAAGTGTATTTTAATGGAGCTAACTATTAGACCTGACTCTTTGAGATGTAAAAGATTATTCAAAGAATTCTAGACTATGGGCTCTGTAGAAAAATCACTTCGCTATCCAGGCAAAGAAATGCTTCAATTTAAGAATGCAAGTAGCATCTGTAGAAGACATCCAACAACCAAGACAGTCTGGACTGCCACTTACCATGCAGTATGCAGACTGCCTCTATGTTTAAACATAAATGAACCGCACCATGAGATTCTGGTATATCAAGTCTTTTCTTTGTGGAAGATGCAAAGGTTCTTGGGTGGATAGCCTATGCAGGTCTAAGCACAAGGCTGCCTTGGCCAGCCTGAAGCTATGAGGATCACTCTGTCTGTCTCATTCATCCCTCATCTTGACAACAACATGGAGAAAGTGTCACTGGTTGGTACACATATAGCAAGTCCATGTCCCACAGGGAACAGGAAAGCATCCAAGATGGACTTGGGATTGTCACCTGCTCCTGGACAAAACTGGGGACTTTTCCGGTTTTGCCAAGCTATGATCCACTGTCAAGAAACTTCCTAAGAAAAACAATCCTAAAGAGCTATGTTGAGAGACTATTTATGATCCATATTGAAAGAACTCCTCAGATGGTCTACCAAGCTATTCTGAAATCCCAGCAGGTGAGAGTCCTTGAGAGGTACTGAGCTATATATGCAGTAATTCCACAACCTGAATGCCTCCTGATGCCCGCAATCTGATGTGGCATTTTCCTGCTTGTTTGTACAAAACACCACTGTGTTCCCAGAGAGTATCTGGATGGCCTAGCCCTGAATGTGTGGCAGGAAGTGCTGTCATGCTTGGAATACTGCATGTCATTTGAGAAAGTTTATATGTAAACTTACCTCATTGGTGCTCCATGGGAATTTCAAGATCACCCAAATGAGCTCTTCACCCCATAACTGAAGCACCTTTCACCAAAGTCATAGGAGGGGAAAAATGGAAAGAACGAGATTTCTCCTAATATATTGTGCTGACATCTAATAATTCAGAGACAGTAACATTCCATCTGGGATTAATACTAATTTGTCTAGTTCCTGAACACGACAGTGGCAGACTGACTCAAGACATGTACACATTCCCCAGGGCTGCAGCCTAACATGAGCGGTCACATATTTGAGTAGCCATGTGACCTAGGTGCCTGAAGCAATTCCTCACTGTGATTCATGGGTATACTCTGAATGACACAGAGGTCCCATAAAGACAGGGATCTGGGATGAGGCAGGCAAGCCCCGTCTGAAGTCAAATCCAGGATGAAGTCCCAATCAACTTGTTACTTTGAAGAGATGACAAAACTGGCTTTTTCTTTTCAGGAACAAGTTGCAGAACAACTGAAGAACTGAATGAATACTGGTCCCTACCTGATGACTGAACCAATCCTGAACAAACCAGTTGTCCAGGTAGGGATGGCCCCAGTGCAGATAGGCTGCCACTATAGCCATGTATTTGGTGAAAATCGCAGTGATGATGACAGTCCAAAGGATGGAATGGTTAAGTGGCAGTTTTTCCACCTACCACAAGCCTTAGGAATTGCCTATTAGCCAGGGCAAATTGCCACATGGAAGTAGGTATCCTGTAAATTGATGGCGGCATATCCATCTCCTGCACTTAGGGATACAAAAGAAGCAAGAGAAACTACATGGAATGTCAACATATTCATAAATGATCCAGAAAAGAGGGTAAACCATGAGGTAGCAAAATTTGCAGATGATATAAAAGTTACTCAAGAAAGTTAGTTCCAAAGTTGAGTGCAAAGTTACAAAGGAACCTGACAGAACTGGGTGATGGAGCAACGAAACAGCAAATGTAATTCAATGTTGGTAAGTGCAAAGAAAGGCACATTCGAAAAAAGAAATCCCCACTGTACATATCAAATGATGGGGTCTAAAATAGCTGTTATCACTCCAAAAAGATCTGAGTCATTGTGGATAGTTTTTTAAAAACATCTGCTCATTATGCAGTGTCAGTAAAAAAAAAATTGAACAGAATATTAGGAACCTTTAGGAAAGGGATATATCATAAGAAAGAAAATGCCACAATAAATATCCTTGATATGACCACACCTTGAATATTGAACGATGCTCTGATCAACTCATCTCAAAAAATATTGGAACTGGGGAAAGTACAGAGAAGGGCAACAAAAACCACTAGGAGTATGGGGAACAGCTGCCTTATCAGGAGAGATTAAAAAATACTTGAACTGTTCATCTTGAGAAAGAGACTGCTATGGGGAGATATGATAAGAGGTCTAAAAAAATCATGAATGATATGGAGAAAGTGATAAGAAAATGTTATTTATCCTTTAAAACAACATAAGAATCAGAGGTCACGTGATTAAATAAATAGTCAGCAGGTTTAAAACAAACCTAAGGAAGGACTTCACACAGTGAATCTGTGGAACTTGTTAAAGTCAAATGTATAATACGGTTAAAAAAGCATTTGAAAAGTTCATGGCGAATAGGTCGATCAATGGCTATTAGCCAAATTTGTCAGAGAGTGCAACCCATTCTTCAGGTATCCATAAACCTCTGGTGGCTGGAAGCTAAGACTGGATGATTGGTTGGATCACGTGATAAAGGGCCATGTTCTGTTCACTCCCTCTGAAGCATCTGGCACCAGTCACTTTTGGAAGACATGATACTTGGCTAGATGAACCATTGGGCTGACCCAGCATAGCCATTCTTATGTTTTTAAGAAATAAAAAAAATATTTTTAAAAAATAGGATAGATGATAATGAGGGATGGATGAAGTTAATAAGGGCAGAAGGGAGAGAGAGGAGGGAAGTTTTTCTTTTGAGTACTTGCCTATATCCATTACTTTGTAGGTGTGTACTCATCTTGTACACTGACGCTGAAAATGTTTCCCTGGTGGTACCCTCACAAGCAGACCCACTTGTGCCTGGTTTCTTCATACCCACCACCTGAGGCTATAAGAGGAGAAGCTTTCCCACCCCCCTTGTTTTAGCTTCTGTCCAATAGTCAAAGCATACCTGTATATAACCTGCCTCTATGGACAAAGTTGCTTACAGTTAGTCTTTTTATCTGGCAATGTTTGTTCTGCCCTTTGATCATCCTTTTTTATTTAGTTTTTTCTTGACTTTTTTCTTTTATTTTATTAGGTTCTGGCAGGCCTCAGGTCCACATCTATCAGGTAGAACCTATGCCAAGGTCCCTTGGTTTTAAGCTTTGCTTTTGATGGTTGTAAATCAATGCCTGTTTGTGGCCTACACTCTCACTGCTTAAAGTTTTGGGTGAGTGTCAACATTAGAGACAAGTGTCTAATCTGCTGGGGGCTTCAAATCTAGAATGAAAAAACAGAAAGAAGAGTACCTTACATATCATTAGCCAGAATGAGTAAGAATGGTGTTCCTAGCCTCTGTCTGTCAGGGGCTGGAAATGGATGGCAGGGGAGAGAGATCACTTGATGATTGCCTATTTCT